TTGGTCCTATTCACTCCAACTTTTAATTGAAAGGGTGTGGGTGTGGGTGTGGGTATGCATCTGTGTGCAACTTGAATCCATCTTATATCCACACACCCACACCCACACCCCAAAATGGAAATTTAAGGGATTAATCTTTTTTTAACATTGTTTAATATTAGTGAATGAAAAACACAGGAAAGAAATAGAATTTCATAAATATGTATTTCACATTTAAATTGTCTATTTTTGAGGATTGTAGTGTGTTGATAATAATGATAATGTCATTTATGTTGGCTGACCAGTTGGAAGTATTTGTTTTAGTCTTTTGTTTTTTTTCTTCTGTTGTTCTATTCAAGGAAAAATCAGAAGAAATGCATTTTCTTATATGAAAAGATATTTATTTCGATATTGCAGAATTATACTTTGAGTTATTGTATTTTACAATAATGTTTGTTTAGGACGCTTACGTATCAATTCATTTTGTGCATCCCGACGGTTACGATTACCGACAATCAGCTTTGAATGTATAGCTGATGTGTTTTCAAATATATCTCCATAGATTGTATGCATGTCCCGTTTCAATGATACAAAACGTCTTTCATGTGTATAATGTACTAGGTTGGAAATAATATTCTGCCAGGGGGGTACTGCTATAATTTCAAATCGAAGACATAATGAATTTTATATCAAACGAAAGCCCGTCGAAAGTGGGATTTATTGATACTAAATAGTAAGAGTTATGAAAACATTTTAATATCGAACTTACGAAACTTTCAAAAATTTTATATTTTTTTTGTGGTGGAAAAGTAAGGTGCCAGTAATTCAAAAATGAATTAAAATGTTTTTCTTCAATATTTTTACATGGTTCGATAGAGCTCGTTGAGCTCTACAAAACTGTATACATGAAAAAAATTTTAAATAGAGTTGTTGGGTTAAAATTCACTGAGGGTGTGGGTGTGGGTGAGGGTGTGGGTGTGGGTGTGGGTGTGTGGGTGTGAGTGTGGGTGTGGGGTGTGGGTGTGGGTGTGGGTGGGTGTGGATGTGGGTGGGGTGTGGGTGTGGGGTGTGGGTGTGGGTGTCGGTGTGCGTGCGGGGTGTGGGTGTGGGTGTGGGTGTGGATGCGGGTGCGGGTGTGGGTGTGGGTGTGGATGCGGGTGCGGGTGTGGGTATGGGTGTAGCTTTTCTCTCTACTCACACCCATACCAACACCCCACACCCCACACCCACACCCACACACACCCAGCCACGCCCACACCCACGCCCACACCCACATCCCACCCACACCCACCCACGCCCACACCCACACCGCCGCTGACGCCGTCGCGGTAGCAGCGCCGCCATGGATATCTCTCCTGTGAACTTAAATAAAACGAAAAGTGTGCCATTATCTATATAATGTTGGCCACCTTTTTTTTCCAACTTCGCAACTCAATAAACACTAAAACTATCAGTAAAAA